TCTTCAGTGAAAAAAAATATATATTGCCCTATTGTCATAGATATTATAAGGCTGCATGCGAAAAAAAAATCATTGCGGAATAACAAGCAGTTTTCGAGAAAATGGCTTACATGTGTGTTTATATATTGTTAAACTAACTGTACACGTATTTTCTACACCAGTTGGGGTCAAGAGCTAATAATGTAGTCAACATCACGTTATCTGTCTTTACTTCCTTCGAGATTAGCTTTAACCCAAATTGGGCTTTTGTGGACACAGGAGTCAAGGTCAATTTTGAAGTAGCAATGATGGAAGGGGAGGGGGAGGGGGGGGTCAGTCACGCTTCATCGAAACCACATGGAGAGAAAAGTCAAATGCAAGACAGCAGTAGACAGACATGTTTGATGGGGTGCTAGAGATACAAAAAGATGGACAAAAAGCAGTCTAATAGTGTATACAAATCTCGGACCTTGGTATTGTGAAAAATTCCACAGTTGATATTCCAATATGATACCGCTTCAGGCCGACTAACATTTTGTCTGTTGGTTTGCCTCTGCCTCTGCTACCGCTGATCTTTCCCGTCATTACGTTGTTCTGCAAGGTCTCTTCTCGCAGCATTTGATTTAAGATCATTGACTATCTTTTTTTAAATAGTTGTATATAGTTTGAAAATAACGATTCATAGAAGTAAACATTATTAATATTATTATAAATATGAGTGAAAAAAAATAGCATCGCCAGCTTTCATATGGAAATCACAGAAAAATAGACAACAATGGTAGTTGTAGTTAACTAATGTATACATATAATATTTAGATGATCAAGTATATATTGAATGCATCGCTAGCATAGATATAAAGAGAAGGAAAATGGTTAATACCATAAATACCAATATATTTTTACAGGTACAATGCTTTATGACGTGCATTTTTATATTATAAGCATTACGATTTTTTTTCTTAATTTGTTTTTCTTTTAAAGATATACATTTTTTTACCAGCCGATTAGTAAGTAGCATCTTCCCACACTAATATTACCCATTATATTCTTGGTGACTCGATGCATTCACTTTAAAAAATCCAAGCTGGATTATCAGGCAAGAATGGATCGCCACACTAAGAACTTCACGAATATCTGCCCTAATCTTCATCTTTGTGCCAGGTTGTCGTGAAATGATAGCCATTACGCATCGGTCTGTAAGGCTGATAACCTGTCTTACCTGTAATCTGCACAAAATTCAAACTTGGACTCGCCCAGAAATATATAGTCCCTTATATCTATATATATAGGCCTGTATTGGACAACATTATTATGTCTGCCTTTTCTGGTTACTTTAACTAAACTCCACTTTTAAATGTATATCTCTTAGAGATATATTTAGGGAGTTATTTGAGGTTTCTTGGAAACCGATTTACTCCTTGCCCCAGTATACAGGGAACTTCTTTTGTACCAACGCCTGAAGTGTCTAAGCGACGCTATTCTCCTTGCCAGCTTCTCAAGCATCCAGATGTGTTAGTCTGTGCCTGTACAACTTTCACTTTTCAAGGCAATCTGGAAATGTCTCAGTTTTTACATATGCTTGGGTAAGTTAATTATAGTTTACGAGTACCTAGAATGATGTCTGTAAAGTAGTCACTGCTGTAGAGAAATTAGTATCGGCTGTGTTATCTCACTTAGTTCGACCGTTCTTGATCGCTAGAGAAGCGGATTCGAACGTAGATCTTACACTGTACAGACTAAATAGCTTATGCCCTCAATAAACCACCCATATTGATAAACATTTAATGCCCTTACAATTGTGTACGTTTTAAACTACTTACAGGATCTGTACATACGAAATGGGGACAGAATTGGGTCAGGGCTTTGTTAATCAAAGTATGTGTGTGCTTGACCCAGATCAATGAGTGCTGGGGCGGTTGGGAAAGCTAGGGAATGCAGGTACTGACGGTAAATATTGGTGTTTGTGTGCAGAGTGAGGGGGATAGGGAGAGTGATATATGTGTTAGACCACTTTATCTATCTCCACTGTATATCTGACTTGCCTTCTCTTGCACTAAACAGACAGATAAATATAGGAGACTTATGTCTTTTGGTCTGGAGAGGCAATCTGAGGAATGAAACAGGAGAGCAGGGAGGAGTCAGCAGATGGAGGTTGATGACTAATGCTTGCTCTGTCTTTCCTGTCAAGATGTTACCCTCTTGATGATGACTAATGTTGAGTTATTTTCTTGACAGGATGTATATTTTCTGAAGAGCTGGCAGAAGATTCACAGTCTCACCAACATCCACCAACTATCCAACCACCAGAACCAACTTGTTACCCACCAGCTAACACCTGTGAAGGTTCCTGACATCTCCAACCCATGGGAGATGGTACCTCAAACAGCTACCAGTGCTAGAGCTTAATGTGGCTCAAAGACATTGTGTGTCCTTACTGGTGATAGAGACTTGCTAGATACCGGTACAGTTGCTGTATAGTGAAGTACTCTTACTACTTGATCCAGTGGAGCAGAATTCCCAGAGTCAAAGACAGTCGAATCATCCGGAGCTGAGGGAGGCATCATAGACAGAGAGAAGAGAAGATAAGTCTGATGCTTCGCATGATGTTGTGTTCCTCACAGCTCCTAGATTGTCCAGTGATGAAAAGATGTCATCTCCAAGACCTTCTGTCTGTGTAGTATCTGTTTGATTTGGACATGATATCCTGAGATCTGGCATTTGTCTCACTTTTATATATCTAATTTATATTGATTACATACATTCATTTTCATGGCTGACTTAGGTGTCTCTATTTCACCTTTTTAAGTGTTTAGCAGTTGTGTATGTATGTGTATCTTCATTATATGTGTTAACATGGTTATGATAATGAACTATCATAACCTGGGGGCTTTCTTTAGTAAGTAGTGGGGGTGTCCAGCCAAGTGTGCCTAGAAATATTATATATATATATATATATTGACATATTTTGTAGTGCCAATACTTGAGTTGCCCTACTCCAGAGATAAGTTGATCGTATATTGGCCACGGGGAATCCCTTAGACCAATACGAGCCAAACGACTCAACAAAATTATCTCTGAGTGCTGCTGGTTCTGAAGGAGAAATCCTTACATTAGGCACGCGACAGGAGTGATATGTGACACAGGTTGTAAGGCTGTTCAAGGGAACGAACGTCCAAACTATCTTGCTGACACTGCGGTTGCTATGGCTGGCCCAGTACTGGACAGAAGTGATGTTATCAATGCTATGTGCTGCACTTACCGTACCGAGAAGCACGCTAAAGAACATGACTCCGTATCCCTGTCTAGACTGATAGACATAGGGGTGCAGCCTGGAGCTGCAAGAAATGATTATTTCACTAAGGGAATAAGCCGTTTCATTAACCAGCACTGAACAGGCGTCATCAGTCGTTTTACATTTGTGGAGCTTTTGAGGAGGAGATCGGAGCACCTATAGATCTGTCCGGAGTGCTGTGATGATAATCCTTTCTAATCATGTCTAATCACACATCTAACATTACCCAACTTGTTGAAAAGGTCTCAGACTGCCAAAACACTCGAAAATTTATTACTTCTTTCGCGCAACTATTAGAAAAAAAAATTTAATTCGTACAAAAGATGTTTATGCACACATCAGTAAACTAAGATAATCTTCTTCTTCTTCAGTGCTCAAAACTTTGAAGGTTATTGACAAGTTTGTTGTGGTTTACTGAACGGTGACTATATCTGCGTTTTACTTCTTAGCACATCCAATGTTAGCAAAGATTTAAAAAGTTGCCTGTTACTACCTGTTTGTTAAAAAGGTTGTGAATCCATTCTTTTCCAAAACCCGCCAAATAACGTGTTATCTACCCTTTTCGCCCCCCCCCCCCCCCCCCCCCCCCCCCCCCCCCCCCCCACCCCCAAGTGTGTTTCTGACACTCACTCGGAGAAAATCAGTTGTATCTAGTTACATACTGAAAAGACACTAAAACTTAGAAATGTGATTAACAGTTTAAGGAGATGTCTATTTTCCTTTTTCGTGCTGTTACCTTTTCTATCTGACCACTCTTACGACTAAAAGTGTCACATATTGTAGGGCAAGCCACCTGAGTGAGGGATCCAAACACCCCTTTAAACCTAGAAGGAAGTTAGGAGACCTGTGATGGCTATACTAAAGAGTGTACCCTGCAGTCATGTGGGCATTCATTTATTTGCGATTATTAGCAGAAACAGTGAAGGAATATAAACCTTAAATACTTGTATGCTATTATGGTCCACATATGTATCCGCTTATAGATGTGGAATAGAAACCTTAAATCATATTATCTTATTCTTTTTTCAACAGTTACACAAATAAAATTCAAATAAAAATTATTAATAATACACACACAGTTTAAAATTATATAATTTTACCTCCCGCCTCCTTTTTTTTCTTTACCCCTTCCCCCTCCCCTCCCAATCCCCACCGCCCTCACCTCACTCCCCTCCACACACAAAAATTACATTGTCAGAATAATAAATTGACTATGAGAATCATTTTTTTTTTCAACAAGTTAGATACACATGTCTGTTACCTATTTCAGCACAGATTTAACTTATAGACAATTATTATTATATAATTATTATATAGAGTAAATATTGGTAATCTACTAGACCCGGCTTGAAACAATGGTGCTTTTTCCGTGTTGATGACTTCTTTCCATAATTATCGCAGATATAAATGATAAACACGGCGAATGAATTCATGTTTATGTATTCAACTGTAGTTGGCTGTGTGTCGACATGCACCAGTTCCTTTAGCTTTGGGATGTCGCCCTTTGAGGCAGCAACATTTTTATTTCGCTGTGATCACAATACTTGCTTTCTAATTTCCCCTGCACACATCAGTGCCGATCAGTGTGGTGCATATTTTTGTCAAACTCAGTCACTGGCGCCAAAGTTTCCCCAAGAATTCATGTTATTGTAAAGTCCATGGCATCTGCGAGTATACATCTTATCGAGTAGAACAAATGTTTTGAATTTAGGTCATCATGCAATCTGCCTCAAAGCAGTGGGTGAGCATCAATGTAATCTTCCAGCATTTGGAGGCTTTTAGTCCTGATCTGTATATTGTCACCGTTGTCTATCATGATAGGAACCTCAAACCCAACCTTGTCCAGTTCTTTCAGTGAAGGTTGGTTCACGAATGCGTGAACCTTTCTTTGAGCAATACATTTATACAAAACCGGTGCCACAATAACTTCTTTGTTAGCCCTGGGTCGCAAAGCGAATTCAGCTTCCTTTTTCCACATTTCAATCAGTTCGTCCTTAGATTTACCGGGATATTCAACATCAAAATCCAGCCAATACAGATTGTCCTTCTTCAGTTCAGGAACGGGTAATTTCACCAGCTCATCTGCTACCCCTAGATTCTCGGCGAAAAGCTCGTAATGCATCATGGGAAAGCATTTAATATCCAACGGTCCCAAACCGCAGAAAGAATCCCCAAGGTTCTCGAAGACGTTGACATCTGAAACATCCAGAACAGCAATAACTCTGGGCTCTCCAATAACTTTGAATTTGTGCAAAATCTTAGTGCTACCGGCAAAATTGTCAAATGTATGTTTAACACCGTGAAGTAACTGGCATAGATTCAGTCCACACCCCTGTGGCAGAAACGTTATAGAAAGAAAATATGTCTGAACACAACTTCCAACAGATGACATTGTAAACCTTCTGTTCGTTTGCAACACTACAAGATGAAAGCGTTTGGAAGTAAGCGAATAAATATCACAGCGGTCTGGAGCATGTGTTTCACCAACCGGTTATGCTAATGTACTAGGCTAGCTTCATGTTATAACACGTCAATGTGCACTTGGACGAATGTCAAGGTCAGATTCTCACACTTGTGCTTTAGCTTTACAATGTTATTCACACCCCTGTGATAATCTTTCGTCAGTTACTGATTTTTATGCCTCGCAAAATTTCATTCGGGTGCAAATACGGCGACTTTTGCTTTTGACGTCTATGAAGGGTTCAAGAACAGAAAGGAAACTATGGCGGTAGGACTGGATCTCGAGGATGCTTATAACAGAGTGAGATACGACATCTTAATGACTGCACTGAAAGAGAAGATGGTCAGTCCATGGCTGGTGAATTGGGTTGCAGCTCTCCTGTATTCACGTCGGGTTGCTCTCCGACTGGGCTCATAGACCTCAGAGCCATGCACTTTGGCCCCATGACTGCCACAGGGATCCGCCTTCTCGCCTGTGCTCTTTAACGTTTATACGAGCAAGATTGCAAGCCTAGAAGCACCAGGAGTTGGAAGGATACTGACTTTTGCGGATGAAATACTTGCATATAGGCAGGGGAAAGAGAGGGAACAAACAGCCCGGGAGCTACAAGCGACAGTAGACAAAATGACTGAGTGGTGTAAAGCAATGAGGGCTGTCGTCCACCCGGAAAAGGCGTCTGTTTTTGGTGTTCTCTGGACAACAGAATCGTTAAAACTAATGTCCCAGGTCTCGCGATAGATAGTAGAAACGTTAACAGAGTGAGCAAACTGAAGTATCTGGGAATTACATTTGACAGGAGCTTGTCATTTAAGGACCATGTGGAGCGTGTTGTGACGAGATACCAAAAAGGACTTAGTGCACTTAAAACTATGGCTGCAATTGACATAGAGCAGAGAATGCTTTTCACACTTTATCAGCACCTGATCCTGTCAGTGGTTGATTATGGCCTGGGACTGCTTACCGTCTCAAAGAATCAGATGAACAAACAAGAGCGCATACAGAACGGGTCATTCTGAGTTGCACCAGAGACACCCCAGTGGTGTGTATGCGATACATCCTTGGTTTGCCGACGGTTGCAGGTAGGCGTATGGTGCTGCAGGCGAAGTCATATCTCAGGGTAGCTGCAGACACAGACCACCCTTTGCATGAAGCTCTGGGTGCAGTTAAAGGTCAGCGGCTTATAAGAGGGAGGTCATGGATGGCTCAGGCAGAAGACACAATCAGATAGGTTTGCATCCTTGAGAACATTAGGCGAGGAGAGGAGTGGGTCAAAGTGCTACCTGAACAGTCAGACTTGTGTAGAGTCATAGTCACGCTGAGCCGGGAATGCAGAGACTGGCCAGCAGGTGCCACAGAGGTGGAAATTCAGCAATTAATTCAAGATAATGCTCGCTCAAAGGATTTGATCATTTACACAGACGGTTCAGTGTCAAGAGGCAAAAGAAGTGCTTGGGGATTCTTAGCAAAAGTTAATGGTCGACGTTGGGTGCAGGAAAGCCTAGCATATGATACCACAACATCCAGTTTAAGAATAGAAGTGGAGGCGGTCAATGCAGCTTTTCGCTGGCTAGAAATCAGGACACACACACACACACATTGTGATTGTAACTGACATAGAAAGCATTCTGAGGAAGAACAGAACAGGTATGCTTCGTGCAGAGTGGCATGCTTCGCTGCGGAGGACACGGGTGAAGAGTATTGTCTGGATTTTTTCACCGGGGCAAGCCGGTGTGTTGGGAAATGAACAGGCGGACAGACTGGCTGGCTCTGCACAACTTGGTGGAATACTGATACATGATAAGGCAGACGTAATTAGTGCCTTGTGGGAGAGCGTGTACAGTTCGGAGGAGCAGATGGATCACCACAGTCTGATGAGATTGATTGATGCAGGGGGGAGTGACGAGAGGTTCTGGCAGGTGCTCGAGGCTCAGAGGAAAGGCAAGACGGACGTTTAATCATAATGCTACTGCACCATTAGCATTGGAACTCTTCGCTGGCTGCTAAAGATGGGGACGGAGCGCTTATGGGAATGCCCTGAGTGCTGTGATGTCGGTTCTTGAATCAAATCAAATCAAATCAAATCATTCAAGTGTTACCAGAGCATTATCATTACCCATGAGACCATTTTCTAACCAGTCGTGTTCTTCGAAACACACCCTTTAAGATTACTGAAGCGAATGAATGTATAAACTTTTCCGAATACGACAAATGGGAAATTTTTCTACAGCTCGCTTAATAAGTAAACAGGTAGCCTCTTTAAATTTTGTAATGTCTTTCCTTGAGCCATACTAAAGAATGTATTCTTGAATTGTTATATTGTATACAACAGTTTTTTATTTTTTTGTTTTATGACATTCAGTTCAGTAACAACATATGATATAAAATTTTTAACTTTCTTTCATCAGTTCTTATTTGCATCTACTCTCATTCTTGCTAATACGTATTAAGGCCGTCACTTATATCATGTACCCATCTTCGTGTTGGTAGGCCCCTGCCTTTCAGTCCCGGTACCATGTCTTCTGCTTTAAAAAAATTCCAGTCGGCCAGGGGCCTGATAAGACCAAACTATTTCAGCTTCCGAAAAAGATGTTGTTTATTAGCCAATCTTCCTTCACGTTCAAATCTTTTAAAATGTCAGTATTTCTTCTGTTCATTGTCCATATTATTTTGAGAATCCTGTTTTAGCATTTCAGCTCAAAAAGAACTTATTTTCTTTCATTAGGACTGAATGAAGGATAGTTCATTAAAGGGACGTAAGCCTAAAATTTTCGTTATTTAAAAGACTTACCTCCCATGCAGTTAGGTAACCCGACAAGTAATCAATAGCCTTACTGTGTTTGGACTTCAGGTTTGCTCTGTGAGCGTCAGAGGCCCCTTTATAACTTAACACGAAGTTTCTCGGATTTGCATCTGGGGTAATTCTCATTCGAGTAGTGAAACATTGCCATTCAAGTCACCGGGTATAAATCACTCTGTGCGGTCCTATAATGTTAAACTTCTTTCACTTACTCGAAAGTATGACTGCTGTATGCAATTGGTAATCTATATAGCTGACTTTGATTATAATTAAGCTAAAAACAAACGGTCCATTTTTATGTCTTTGTCTCATTGGACAAATGACGCCACCGAGATAGTCCAGTACTGTTTAGACTGGTGGTGGTCAACTTTTATAAAGCAGCGACCCTTTAATACAGTTCCTCATATTTTTTGAACCCCAACCATACAATTATTTTTGTTTTGTTACTTCATAACTTCGGTGAATATGTTGTCCGATGGTCTTAGGCGACCCCTGTGAAACGCTCTCTCTCTCTCTCTCTCTCTCTCTCTCTCTCTCTCTCTCTCTCTCTCTCTCTCTCTCTCTCTCTCTCTCTCTCTCTCTCTCTCTCTCTCTCTCTCTCTCTCTCTCTCTCTCTCTCTCCCCACAAAAAGGTCGCGAACCATAGCTTGAGAACCGCTGGTTTAGACCAGTCGTCACCGGAGGGCTGATGTTATCAGCATCACGCCTGCCTCATTATCCCCGTCCCTAATCACATACATTTACTGAACGTAAAAGTGTCTAGAAAAACCACAACAGCCAAACAATGCTGGGGTTGGTTCAGCAACGTCCTGTAAAGGAGATGCAAATAACTTTTTTTTTTTTTTTAGTATCCAGAAGCCATGAGTTGTTAACCCGTAGGCTCGGTATTATGGATATCGCAACCCTTCGGCCTTGATTCCATGATAAATACCGTAAATCTGGGAGAAATGTGGCTTTTCTGCCTACCCCCGGACGTGAACCCGGACCAAAAGAAGTTCGTCCCACGGTCACCGTACAATCCGGTTTAACCATCCAAGCTAGCGAGCCGGGCTCACTATTCTTTTAACTACTCACATAAGACGGCAACTGCTGTGGTGTAGCGTCTAGGCATTCGCCTGTGGGTCCGAAGGTCGAGCGTTCAGGTCTTTGCGGAGCCGGACTTCTTTTAAACAAAATTTTATTTTGTCTTCTTCGCATTCACCGGCTGTTAACTCCGGCGGAAAGTTCTCGTTGTTCTTCCGCCTCTGAAAATTAGTATTGTTCTAGAACCTGAGGGTTGCGTGCACATTCGTTTTACAGATCTGACTTAATTGTAAGCAGATTGTTAGTTCCTTGTGCCCAATTTGTGTACTCTTACTACATTCTTGTTGGGGAGGTGGTGGGTCTATTCTTGTTTTCCCCACACCTTAGGGTCCCGGAATCCACACGAGGATTTTCAAAATTGACCTTAGCTGCAACGTCGACCTAGTCCTAAAAGGGTACTTGGTAAAGAATTGGGAAGTAAAGGAGGCCGGCAGGATGTGACCACATCAGCCACTGAGTGCCGACTGGTTCATGAAAAATAGGTCAAACCCTATATGCCTAGTATTCCTGAAGGCGTAGAAAAGAACCCTTTACTTTACATGCATAAGACTGCAGGTTACACTTAGCTTGTGAGCTGTTGAGGGTACCCTAATTATAACCTTCCTGGAGATTGAACGGGGATCTACATTGTTGGTTCAGATAAAGGTTTTTGAAAATTGAGGATTATGGTAAACCTTTAAGCAGCAGTCCGGAGGGGACAGTGTTACTTCTATCTATTGGGCGCCTCAATTTTAACTGGTGTTTCTAGGACTCGTTCGTTTTTGGTTTTCTAAATGGTGGTTTTTACTCACCTACCCTCAGTCTTTTTGACTTATCTATGGTTGGTTGGTTTTGATAAGACGCGAAGATCTGGAACACAACATTTGGCCTAAAGCGTGGAAAAGAACGGTACCTGGTGTTGAACATTGCCTGTCACTACCTACACACGCGCATAGACACATGGCCCATATTGTTTGCATCCATTTGTTTTATCTCTCCCACCAACCGCCCATTTATTCCTTAAATGACACCCGGGTCGACATCCACACTCCCTCTCCCCCAACAAGTTTAG